CGTTTATTTTCAGATGAAATTAATCAAAGATGTGACACGATGTTTCCAGCAGCCATGCAGAATAAAAATGGGTCCCGGTCTATTTCTGGTGGGCGTGTTCAAGTGCAAATCACTTTGACTCAAATTAAAGATATTATCTGTTCAACATGAAAAGAAATATATGTTTTGAGAGAAATCAAAAACTTTGCGTTGTGTCCTTTGTACAGATATTTAGTTTCATCCAAATCAAAAGTGGTATTTTAAAATGCAAAAAGAAAGGGTTTCACAATCAAATCAATGATTTTATTCTGTTTTGAATGGCACTTATTAGATTGAATGAATGACTGCATGTTAGACTTTTTTCAGTGTACATCTCTCCTATTAGCTTTTATTAGGCTTGCACTCATGCCTTTGCCTTTCACCACTTCAAAAGTGCGCCTACTTGAATATTACCTTGATAGGCTCTCTTTGTTTTTGGCCTTCCTCACTACACCGTGAAGAGATGTTGAATAAAAAAAAGCAAAGAAAAGATGGTTTTGTTTTGTGTTTTATTGAAAGCACTTTCCAGAAAGTGTAATTGTTTAGAATGAAGACAGAAGTAGGTAGGTAGGTTTCCAATGCTTAATTAGTGTGTAAGAATATTGCAGAATCTGCTGTGCTGTGTACTTTGTAAAAACCATGAGAAGGGCTGGCTGGCTGGCTGGCTGGCTGGAGAAGAAATGATAAATGTCCTTTTTTTTAACCGTTCTCTCGGCTGGCCGTTTGGCGTATGATGTGTGGCAGAGCACTCTGGTACAGAGCGCCGCCAGTTCGAACCCCCACGATCTCGCTGCCACGGCCCTAGCTTGGGGGCGGGGATGCGCATTCGCGTTTCCCCTTTTGCCTTTTCCAGCCAAGTCCTCCGCCTGCTCGACATCTCTCCTATTACCTTTTATTACGCTTGCACTCATGCCTTTGCCTTTCACCACTTCAAAACTGCGCCTACTTCAATATTACCTTCATATGCTCTCTTTGCTTTTCGCCTTCCTCACTACACTAAGTACCATTTTTTAACGCTGTGTACTCACTCTTGCTAAGTACATGTGAACAGATCTTGAAGAAAAAAAACAAAACAAAACATACTTTTCTTTTCTCTTTAATTCAAACCACTTTACAGAAAGTACAATTGTTTACAATGAACAAAGAAGTAGGTAGGTTTCCAATGCTTAATTAGTGTGTAAGAATATTGCAGAATCTGCTGTGCTGTGTACTTTGGAAAAACCATGAGAAGGGCTGGCTGGCTGGCTGGAGAAGAAATGATAAATGTCCTTTTTTTAACCATTCTCTCCGCCGGCCGTTTGGCGTATGATGTGTGGCAGAGCACTCTGGTACAGAGCGAAAAACATGAGAAAAACAGCTGGCTGAAGAAGAAATGATAAATGTCCTTTTTTTTCAAGCCTTCTCTCGGCCTGGCTTGGGGGCGGGGAGACGTGCACTCGCCTTTCCTTTTTGCTTTTTCCTGCTCTTGCCAAGTCCTCTGCCGGCTCTACATCTCTCCTATTAGCTTTTATTAGGCTTGCACTCATGCCTTTGCCTTTCACCACTTCAAAAGTGCGCCTACTTGAATATTACCTTGATAGGCTCTCTTTGTTTTTGGCCTTCCTCACTACACCGTGAAGAGATGTTGAATAAAAAAAAGCAAAGAAAAGATGGTTTTGTTTTGTGTTTTATTGAAAGCACTTTCCAGAAAGTGTAATTGTTTAGAATGAAGACAGAAGTAGGTAGGTAGGTTTCCAATGCTTAATTAGTGTGTAAGAATATTGCAGAATCTGCTGTGCTGTGTACTTTGTAAAACCATGAGAAGGGCTGGCTGGCTGGAGAAGAAATGATAAATGTCCTTTTTTTAACCATTCTCTCGGCTGGCCGTTTGGCGTATGATGTGTGGCAGAGCACTCTGGTACAGAGCGCCGCCAGTTCGAACCCCCACGATCTCGCTGCCACGGCCCTAGCTTGGGGGCGGGGATGCGCATTCGCGTTTCCCCTTTTGCCTTTTCCTGCTCCAGCCAAGTCCTCCGCCTGCTCGACATCTCTCCTATTACCTTTTATTACGCTTGCACTCATGCCTTTGCCTTTCACCACTTCAAAACTGCGCCTACTTCAATATTACCTTCATATGCTCTCTTTGCTTTTCGCCTTCCTCACTACACTAAGTACCATTTTTTAACGCTGTGTACTCACTCTTGCTAAGTACATGTGAACAGATCTTGAAGAAAAAAAACAAAACAAAACATACTTTTCTTTTCTCTTTAATTCAAACCACTTTACAGAAAGTACAATTGTTTACAATGAACAAAGAAGTAGGTAGGTTTCCAATGCTTAATTAGTGTGTAAGAATATTGCAGAATCTGCTGTGCTGTGTACTTTGGAAAAACCATGAGAAAACAGCTGGCTGGCTGGCTGGCTGGCTGGAGAAGAAATGATAAATGTCCTTTTTTTAACCATTCTCTCGGCCGGCCGTTTGGCGTATGATGTGTGGCAGAGCACTCTGGTACAGAGCGAAAAAACCATGAGAAAAACAGCTGGCTGAAGAAGAAATGATAAATGTCCTTTTTTTTCAAGCCTTCTCTCGGCCTGGCTTGGGGGGCGGGGAGACGTGCACTCGCCTTTCCTTTTTGCTTTTTCCTGCTCTTGCCAAGTCCTCTGCCGGCTCTACATCTCTCCTATTAGCTTTATTAGGCTTGCACTCATGCCTTTGCCTTTCACCACTTCAAAAGTGCGCCTACTTGAATATTACCTTGATAGGCTCTCTTTGTTTTTGGCCTTCCTCACTACACCGTGAAGAGATGTTGAATAAAAAAAAGCAAAGAAAAGATGGTTTTGTTTTGTGTTTTATTGAAAGCACTTTCCAGAAAGTGTAATTGTTTAGAATGAAGACAGAAGTAGGTAGGTAGGTTTCCAATGCTTAATTAGTGTGTAAGAATATTGCAGAATCTGCTGTGCTGTGTACTTTGTAAAAACCATGAGAAGGGCTGGCTGGCTGGCTGGCTGGCTGGAGAAGAAATGATAAATGTCCTTTTTTTTAACCGTTCTCTCGGCTGGCCGTTTGGCGTATGATGTGTGGCAGAGCACTCTGGTACAGAGCGCCGCCAGTTCGAACCCCCACGATCTCGCTGCCATGGCCCTAGCTTGGGGGGCGGGGATGCGCATTCGCGTTTCCCCTTTTGCCTTTTCCTGCTCCAGCCAAGTCCTCCGCCTGCTCGACATCTCTCCTATTACCTTTTATTACGCTTGCACTCATGCCTTTGCCTTTCACCACTTCAAAACTGCGCCTACTTCAATATTACCTTCATATGCTCTCTTTGCTTTTCGCCTTCCTCACTACACTAAGTACCATTTTTTAACGCTGTGTACTCACTCTTGCTAAGTACATGTGAACAGATCTTGAAGAAAAAAAACAAAACAAAACATACTTTTCTTTTCTCTTTAATTCAAACCACTTTACAGAAAGTACAATTGTTTACAATGAACAAAGAAGTAGGTAGGTTTCCAATGCTTAATTAGTGTGTAAGAATATTGCAGAATCTGCTGTGCTGTGTACTTTGGAAAAACCATGAGAAGGCTGGCTGGCTGGCTGGCTGGAGAAGAAATGATAAATGTCCTTTTTTTTAACCATTCTCTCGGCCGGCCGTTTGGCGTATGATGTGTGGCAGAGCACTCTGGTACAGAGCGAAAAACCATGAGAAAAACAGCTGGCTGAAGAAGAAATGATAAATGTCCTTTTTTTTCAAGCCTTCTCTCGGCCTGGCTTGGGGGGCGGGGAGACGTGCACTCGCCTTTCCTTTTTGCTTTTTCCTGCTCTTGCCAAGTCCTCTGCCGGCTCTACACTGTAAAAAGAATAACCCTATTCAAATAAAAAAAAAATGATGTCCAGTTGTCACATCCAAAATATTTGGCTTTATAGAATCCAAATTGAGTCACTTGATATGACCTGATACTTTTATGTTGATATAAACAATATTACTAGACTTGACTGAAACTTTAAATTTTGCATTGATCCAAATTGATTTTTTTACATAGAACCATATTTTAATTATTGAACCAAGCTAATATATTGAAATTTAACCAACCTAATGTATTCACATCGAACCAAATTAACATGAACTAATATGTTTGTGTTGAAGCCAGGTAATTGATTTACATATATTCAAACTATATTTTTTACATTTCATTTTATTTCAGTTCAAACATGCTCTGCATTTCCTATAAAAAACAAGACAGTTGGCCAACCAATTATTTCAAATTATTTATTGTTCCAAACCATTTGAACTATAATCACAGAATATGATGAGCGTATGTTGAGGCGTATATTACTAATATTATTATATTGTAATATACAGATTTAGTGCTACGGCAGAAATGATTAGAGAAATGTTTGTTTTATAAAACCTGCAATCTTTTGAAAACCAGTATAAAACCTGCAATCTTTTGAAAACCAGTATAAAATCTGCAACCTGTCTAAAACTGGCATAAAACCATTATAAAAACTCTTTTTAAACCAATTTGCAAGTACTCAAAAATGTTTATATGTGCACTGAGCGTGTACAATGTAAAAAAAAAAAAAATCTACACATGTATCAATGAAATCAACTTAAATCTCCCTTTCAAATGGGTGTTCTTATAAATTTTGAATGTAGAATACCACTGCAGGCCAACCAAGCACACATGCACATGCATGTGCACATACACATGCACACATGCATGCAAACACACTACTGTGCAGTGTTAAGTTCACAATTAAGTTTGCGAATCTTAGAGGTCATCTTGTTAAAGTCAAGCTCCATCATAATCTTTTGAAGAGCCTCAAAGGTGAACCTGAATCCTCGTGGATATTCCATATTAAGAGCATAACAGAGTCCAAAGACCATTGCCACTCCAGCTGCCACAGAAGGCAACTCATTCAGGACTTCCACACCATCAATGATTATCCCGATGTCTCGAGGCTGATGTAGGAGGCTTGAGTTGTCCCTGAAGACGAAGAGTAGCATGGTGGTACTCTGCAGCTCTTCCTCAGCTTCATCTTTCTGGGATATCTTGAGGTAAAATATGGAACAAATGTACAAGTGAAGAACTGAAGTCTGGCACACCTGATAAATCTTTGACCATAATAAACTACTATTTTGATAGTTGTTTGGTCACAGACTATTAGAACAATTATTTGACTAATCAGATTTGTGAATTGCATAATCATTAAATTAAATCAATGGTGGAACATTTCATAAATGTTCCACAAAGCCCAAGAAAAAAAAAAGAAAACAATACAGAACCCTAAGATATTAACTTGATGAGTTGATTAATCGTTGCTGTCCTACATTAATCACTGCATTTAATAGCAGAGTTGTCAAATTTACATCAAGAGACTGCATCTCATGTAGAGACAGAACAGATATGGACATACCATGTATTCTTTTATCAAGTCCTCAACACATCAGCAAGGTGAATGAGAGGATAATGAGGGAGAGTCTAGATTATTATGAAATGTTTAAAAAGGATGTGCAGTGTAAATGCAAAATGATACCTGTTCAGATTAAATGAAAATGTATGCTTCAGCCATGGAATGGATGGAGCGATCTGTGGTTCTGAAAGCATACAGAAAAAAAGAATAATGTTACTTCTCTATAAAACACATTACATAGAAAAACCAAGAAATACGTAACATGACATACCAAACAGTCTACAGACCAGCCATTAGCGACTAAGTTTGGCATAGGGTCAATTTTTTGCTGTTAAAATTACAATTTCTTCAGAAAATGCACATTTTTCCGAGCCGCGCCTGAAAGTCAATTGAAGGAATTAGTCTTATGTCATTGATCTTATATGCTGGCGTGTTATTTCTGTCTCTAAATCATGCACATTAATAATTATCTTTTGCGCTCGGTGTACACACACATAACACACAGATATTTATATGAAGAGAGACAAACGTGCGCGCACAAACACAAGCTTGTGTCTAGAAACCGCGAGCTCACCAGAAAAATTCAAACGAAGCGGAGCACGGAGTTATACTATGAATGTTATGAACTATGAACTTATGCTAGCTAGCTGTATCCACCACCGATGCATCGTGGTAACGCTAGCTAGTTAGTATACTGGTAAAAAACGGCTTTTTGCCTAACTTGCATTCCCGACTGTGATGGTCGGTTTCTGGTAACCAGTTCTAACGTTGCGCAGGATAGCTAGCTAGCTTATAGCTAGCAGCTACAATCATGCAAACATTAGGGGTGGCTGTCGACCCAGCTTAAATGGGGTTATTTTCTGCAATTTTGGCAATACAAATTATAAAAGCTTTTGTAACACACTTGGCTTTACTTACGTTTATTTTCAGATGAAATTAATCAAAGATGTGACACGATGTTTCCAGCAGCCATGCAGAATAAAAATGGGTCCCGGTCTATTTCTGGTGGGCGTGTTCAAGTGCAAATCACTTTGACTCAAATTAAAGATATTATCTGTTCAACATGAAAAGAAATATATGTTTTGAGAGAAATCAAAAACTTTGCGTTGTGTCCTTTGTACAGATATTTAGTTTCATCCAAATCAAAAGTGGTATTTTAAAATGCAAAAAGAAAGGGTTTCACAATCAAATCAATGATTTTATTCTGTTTTGAATGGCACTTATTAGATTGAATGAATGACTGCATGTTAGACTTTTTTCAGTGTACATCTCTCCTATTAGCTTTTATTAGGCTTGCACTCATGCCTTTGCCTTTCACCACTTCAAAAGTGCGCCTACTTGAATATTACCTTGATAGGCTCTCTTTGTTTTTGGCCTTCCTCACTACACCGTGAAGAGATGTTGAATAAAAAAAAGCAAAGAAAAGATGGTTTTGTTTTGTGTTTTATTGAAAGCACTTTCCAGAAAGTGTAATTGTTTAGAATGAAGACAGAAGTAGGTAGGTAGGTTTCCAATGCTTAATTAGTGTGTAAGAATATTGCAGAATCTGCTGTGCTGTGTACTTTGTAAAAACCATGAGAAGGGCTGGCTGGCTGGCTGGCTGGCTGGAGAAGAAATGATAAATGTCCTTTTTTTTAAGCGTTCTCTCGGCCGGCCGTTTGGCGTATGATGTGTGGCAGAGCACTCTGGTACAGAGCGCCGCCAGTTCGAACCCCACGATCTCGCTGCCACGGCCCTAGCTTGGGGGCGGGGATGCGCATTCGCGTTTCCCTTTTGCCTTTTCCAGCCAAGTCCTCCGCCTGCTCGACATCTCTCCTATTACCTTTTATTACGCTTGCACTCATGCCTTTGCCTTTCACCACTTCAAAACTGTGCCTACTTCAATATTACCTTCATATGCTCTCTTTGCTTTTCGCCTTCCTCACTACACTAAGTACCATTTTTTAACGCTGTGTACTCACTCTTGCTAAGTACATGTGAACAGATCTTGAAGAAAAAAACAAAACAAAACATACTTTTCTTTTCTCTTTAATTCAAACCACTTTACAGAAAGTACAATTGTTTACAATGAACAAAGAAGTAGGTAGGTTTCCAATGCTTAATTAGTGTGTAAGAATATTGCAGAATCTGCTGTGCTGTGTACTTTGTAAAAACCATGAGAAGGGCTGGCTGGCTGGCTGGAGAAGAAATGATAAATGTCCTTTTTTTAACCATTCTCTCGCCGGCCGTTTGGCGTATGATGTGTGGCAGAGCACTCTGGTACAGAGCGAAAAACATGAGAAAACAGCTGGCTGAAGAAGAAATGATAAATTCCTTTTTTTCAAGCCTTCTCTCGGCCTGGCTTGGGGGGCGGGGAGACGTGCACTCGCCTTTCCTTTTTGCTTTTTCCTGCTCTTGCCAAGTCCTCTGCCGGCTCTACATCTCTCCTATTAGCTTTTATTAGGCTTGCACTCATGCCTTTGCCTTTCACCACTTCAAAAGTGCGCCTACTTGAATATTACCTTGATAGCTCTCTTTGTTTTTGGCCTTCCTCACTACACCGTGAAGAGATGTTGAATAAAAAAAAAGCAAAGAAAAGATGGTTTTGTTTTGTGTTTTATTGAAAGCACTTTCCAGAAAGTGTAATTGTTTAGAATGAAGACAGAAGTAGGTAGGTAGGTTTCCAATGCTTAATTAGTGTGTAAGAATATTGCAGAATCTGCTGTGCTGTGTACTTTGTAAAAACCATGAGAAGGGCTGGCTGGCTGGAGAAGAAATGATAAATGTCCTTTTTTTTAACCTTCTCTCGGCTGGCCGTTTGGCGTATGATGTGTGGCAGAGCACTCTGGTACAGAGCGCCGCCAGTTCGAACCCCCACGATCTCGCTGCCACGGCCCTAGCTTGGGGGGCGGGGATGCGCATTCGCGTTTCCCCTTTTGCCTTTTCCTGCTCCAGCCAAGTCCTCTGCCGGCTCTCTCTCCTATTACCTTTTATTACGCTTGCACTCATGCCTTTGCCTTTCACCACTTCAAAACTGCGCCTACTTCAATATTACCTTCATATGCTCTCTTTGCTTTTCGCCTTCCTCACTACACTAAGTACCATTTTTTAACGCTGTGTACTCACTCTTGCTAAGTACATGTGAACAGATCTTGAAGAAAAAAAAGAAAACAAAACATACTTTTCTTTTCTCTTTAATTCAAACCACTTTACAGAAAGTACAATTGTTTACAATGAACAAAGAAGTAGGTAGGTTTCCAATGCTTAATTAGTGTGTAAGAATATTGCAGAATCTGTAGTGCTGTGTACTTTGTAAAAACCATGAGAAAAACAGCTGGCTGGCTGGCTGGCTGGAGAAGAAATGATAAATGTCCTTTTTTTTAACCATTCTCTCGGCCGGCCGTTTGGCGTATGATGTGTGGCAGAGCACTCTGGTACAGAGCGACCATGAAAACAGCTGGCGAAGAAAATGAAATGTCCTTTTTTCAAGCCTTCTCTCGGCCTGGCTTGGGGGGCGGGGAGACGTGCACTCGCCTTTCCTTTTTGCTTTTTCCTGCTCTTGCCAAGTCCTCTGCCGGCTCTACATCTCTCCTATTAGCTTTTATTAGCTTGCACTCATGCCTTTGCCTTTCACCACTTCAAAAGTGCGCCTACTTGAATATTACCTTGATAGGCTCTCTTTGTTTTTGCCTTCCTCACTACACCGTGAAGAGATGTTGAATAAAAAAAAGCAAAAAAAGATGTTTTGTTTTGTGTTTTATTGAAAGCACTTTCCAGAAAGTGTAATTGTTTAGAATGAAGACAGAAGTAGGTAGGTTTCCAATGCTTAATTAGTGTGTAAGAATATTGCAGAATCTGCTGTGCTGTGTACTTTGTAAAAACCATGAGAAGGGCTGGCTGGCTGGCTGGAGAAGAAATGATAAATGTCCTTTTTTTTACGTTCTCTCGGCCGTTTGGCGTATGATGTGTGCAGAGCACTCTGGTACAGAGCGCCGCCAGTTCGAACCCCACGATCTCGCTGCCACGGCCTAGCTTGGGGGCGGGGATGCGCATTCGCGTTTCCCTTTTGCCTTTTCCTGCTCAGCCAAGTCCTCCGCCTGCTCGACATCTCTCCTATTACTTTTTATTACGCTTGCACTCATGCCTTTGCCTTTCACCACTTCAAAACTGCGCCTACTTCAATATTACCTTCATATGCTCTCTTTGCTTTTCGCCTTCCTCACTACACTAAGTACCATTTTTTAACGCTGTGTACTCACTCTTGCTAAGTACATGTGAACAGATCTTGAAGAAAAAAACAAAACAAAACATACTTTTCTTTTCTCTTTAATTCAAACCACTTTACAGAAAGTACAATTGTTTACAATGAACAAAGAAGTAGGTAGGTTTCCAATGCTTAATTAGTGTGTAAGAATATTGCAGAATCTGTAGTGCTGTGTACTTTGGAAAAACCATGAGAAAAACAGCTGGCTGAAGAAGAAATGATAAATGTCCTTTTTTTTCAAGCCTTCTCTCGGCCTGGCTTGGGGGGCGGGGAGACGTGCACTCGCCTTTCCTTTTTGCTTTTTCCTGCTCTTGCCAAGTCCTCTGCCGGCTCTGACTGTGCAATTTATCCCGGGAGAAGTGTAATGAGAGCAATAAAGTCCTACATCCCATTAATGCCTATCAGAGGATAAGGTCTTCTCATAGTGGTTCATTATTTCAGAGCTGGAAAGGATAGGTTATTATGCAGCCTGGTATACGTGAGTATATAAATGCAGACTGTGACACTGAATCTGGTATAATAATAATGGGTGCCTTGATAACTTGGGTTGTATAGACGTGGTCGCGGTACCGATTTCCTCTGGTTTATTTAAGAAAAGAAAAGTAGCAGGTTTTATGCTGCATTTATTTGAATTTGGCAAAAGGGGGGTTGGTACAAACTAAACTAAAGTGATAACAAATTATTGTTAAATGTAAATATGATAAATGGAGACCATTGTGAGTTATGCCAGTAATGGAATTAATATTTCTCACGAACACTAGGGCACCAAAAATTGGAAAACAATTCAAAAATAATTTTTTGTGTGAAAGAGATAAACAGAGAAAGTTAGTTGAAAAGCAACTGAAGCAGAAATATTAAAATATCCTACTGCTGTCAGTCAGTGTTGAAATCAGAAAGTAAAGTCTTGTTGCACCACTTTTCTAAAAAGTCTGTCATGATATCTGTGCTTGAGCCAGCTGGCCTTTCATCCTAACATCTCACTTATTATATAAGAGTCACACTTCTTCTAATTTCCTTGTTGGAAAGTTAGTTGATATGCAGCATAGATGGTGTACGCATAAACTTGGTTTCTGGGGAGTGGTCCTCATTCCAGTCAAAAAGGATGATAAAGAAGGGTATGCTTCAGGGATGGCCTACCTTGTGAGTGACATGTTGATACCCTTTGAGTTTGCAGTTGGACGAGGCTTCAACTCAAGGGTCACATCACAGCTATGTCAATCTTTTAAGAACCAGGCAAACGTAAAAGCAGCTGTTGAACAGGCGCTTTTACTCAGCTTTTCTTAGCTTAACTACAAACATGATTATGTAAATTATTGCTCAAGGTGGTCATGAACAAATGACCACAAATGTTGGTCCCAAACAACACCATTCACGTTCGTATCATATGATTTGATTTGATATCTGTGGCCAATTTGGATTCACCAATTAACCTAACCCCACCAACTGAATGTGGCAGGAAAAGGGGGGAACACACAGACTCAACACAGAAAGGCTCTGGCCAGCTGGTGGAGTTGAACTCAAGACCTTCTTGCTGTGAGGCAACACTGCTAATCACCCCAAGTTAGAAACCACTGGGAAAAAATTAATCTAATGCAAGGAAGCTCCACCCTCCCCTATATGGTCTGAGTAGATGCTTAAGTCCATTTAAAGCAATTCCAGCCTCTTTTGTTTAAAGCAAACAAATAGCAGACAGGTAACTCAAGAAAAGAGAAAAAAAAAGTAAGGTGAGTTATAAATCATTGACAGAACAATGCAAACTAAATGTGCGCACCAACATTTACAACACAGTGTAATGTCATATTCTATACTAAAACAAACTAATCACCTTAATTAGTTTGTGAAGTTTGCGGACGACACTACAGTGGTGGGTCTTATCACCAACGGTGATGAGACGGCTTACAGGGAGGAGGTCAGCGCCCTGACCCA